TACTATCTGGAATCAAATTTACCGCCTCTGCCACAGTTACAAAACAGTGACCTCTTCGATATTTCTACCTCCTTGTACACCTGGGCTGTGTGCGCTTGCGTACATGAAGTTGTTCCGCCAGTTCAATTTGTACATGTTGCCGTTCAAGTCATGTTATGCTTGTGTAGTTGAGTTTTTTATACTGAAAGCGAAGAAAAGCGGGATAATTCTGGCGGCATTGTGACATAATAGAATGTCGACAGTAGAGGATTTGTATTAGTAAGTGATTCGAAACTGATTTTTACACTGAGTATGTGATTATGGTTGTCATGTTGTGGGTCACATGAAACTAGTTCTTTTCTCATGTTCAAATAAAGAAGCCGGTTGCTACCGTATTGTAATTTCTTGGTAACTGTGTAGAATGGATATATGTGCAAAGCAACAAATTGACTTGTCTTGTGAAGTTTCTTCCCCACAATACTTCAAAAGTTCTTTTGCCAGATCTATGGCAATTGACTGTATGGACCGAAGTAAACCACTAGACAGTGCTTATTTGGGCCAGTCAGCTGTCAGTGAGAAACATGTCCTACACCAAACTGAAAGTGAAACAGTGTGGACTCCATCATCTGTGAGTTGTAATAGAAATTGTAAACCAATGACAGAACTAGCAACAATGTGCAAAGGAAATAAACTGTTGAAGAATTGGTGTGATTTGCCTCATATGACAGCTCAGAAGAAGAATAACAAGATGAGAAACCAAAGCACTGATGCTGCAAAGCTTTGGAAAACAGAACAGGTAACTGTAATGATAAATTAATTTTGGTTTATTGCATGATTTTGGTGCTTATCTTTTATTATTAACCCTTAAAAGTATGTAATATATTCATCAGTCATCTACTTTTAGTAGTGTAAGTGAAGGTGAAGCATATTTATATAACCCACTCTGAATTCTGTGATTGTAGTGGTTTATATTTTAATTACATTATGTCCCTTGTGGACAGGGTCCAGTGGAGGGCTTTGGTTAATTCGGTGATGAACCTTCGGGTTCGGTAAGCCATCTAGTTAGTTATGTCCCTTGTGTGGCTGTTTGCCTTGTGCAAGAGATGGGGAGCTATTGAATTATTTTATAGCAGTCCTCAGTAAATTTTGTTTAAGTCTAAGGGCAATCCCCGAGAGGATAAAATTTCATCAGTTTTTGGCATATATTACTGTAAGTCATGGGTTATAAACTACATATTTTTTCAACAAAATTTGACATGATAACAGGAAACATTATTGTCTGTTATTGTCTCCTTATTAAACTGTTACTTGTAATATTTAACATATCTTAATATTTAGTACTGAACTACCAATTAGTAATAATCTTAAAGAGCCAAATTATGTTGATGATGGTCTTTTCATACTGTCTGCTTCCATAGATGACCTAAATTTGTTTTGATGAGATTCATCATATTAATTCTGTCAATAAATGGCAGACATGAGTAGTACTTTTGCTGTGGAAAACAATTCTCATGATGCAAAAAACATTACTGTTAGAGACCATTTTATTAAAAAAATATTTTTTATGTAGTAATATAATTAAACTTGATGGGTCATATAGTTTGTCATAGGCTAGACCTTCCACCACATAGACTCATGTATGCACAAGCAGTTATATCCAAGTGGAACTGTGTGTGGCATCAAACTCCATGGAGCAGGGTTTTTTATGAAGAGCTGATAATTGCTAACTGGTCAATAAATTCCCTGCCCTTTATGATACTTAAAGTTCATTACTGTACAGCCTGCTACTGGACCTTTTGCTGAGCTAGATGGATTCTGTCCACAACCACAGACCATATTTAATTAATATTTATGTTAATATTATCATCCCATCTGTGCCTTGGTTTCCCAAGTTGTCTGTTCCTTTCAGATTTTGTGACCAAAATTTTGTACACATCTCTCGATGCATTCTTCATGTTCCATCATCTTATGTTCTTTGATTTGGTCACCCTAATAGTATCTGATGAAGAGTGCAAAGAGTATGAAGCTCTTCATTGTGTTTCTTCTCCATCCTCCTTTTACTTATCTCTTATGTCCAAATCTTCCTGTCAGCACTCCACTCTCAAATGCTTCCAGTCAATTTTCTTTCCTTAGGGTGAAAGACCAACTATTTAAAATTCAGTAGAATTTGAGGTTCTCACAGCTGTGAGTATGAAGATGGTTGTAGCACTGTGTAGTCTGATTTTATTTCAAATTCATTAGTGGTATTTATTTTCAGGATGTATCAAGTGACTTGGTTAATCAGAATGACATAAACGGTAGTGGCCATTTACAAAGTCCTGGCAGTTCCTGTACAGATGTTCTTCGTCTTCGAAAGGTAAGGCATTGGACTGTTTCAAGTAGGTCTTTGTTAATATTTTAATATTTTGAGTGTATCATAACAACTTCTGCAGCTAGATTGGAATATTGTTTGGAGGTAAGTATAGAGTGTTAGAATGTAATTAAACACAAATATCTGGTGATATATGATGGACCAGAACTTTCTTGTAATTGGAGGATTTCACAGTGCTGACACGTGCAGGTAGAGAACCCCTTTTCTGAATGGAGCTTCTGAACCTTTTCCACATGGTGCCACAATAAAATATATCTCACTATCTCAGGGAACACCAAATCATGCATTATTAGCTGATTATCACTTTTTGTCATTTATAAATTATATATTTGAAAGAGCATTGTGAAATCCCCCAAGAATCAATACATTTGACTGACATTTTTTTGTGGTAGCAGTGCAGTAGAATCCTGGACTATTGCCTCTAGACAGGCCACAAACACTTCTTTAGAAATATTAGACTACTCAGCATTCATGATCATCTTTCTATGTCATTCACCGTAAAACCTAACTTTACAAATCCAGTAACCTGTAAGTAGTCTTCACCTTTGTCTTCTTTCCGTAATGTCCTTGTTCTTTTCTTTCGTTTTTCTGTCTTCGTTTCCTTTTTCAAAGGCTTCGTTTGTATTGTGAGCGTATACAATGTCATTAATTGGGATCGTTACATTTGTTGTCATCATACCTTAAAGTAATCTGTGGTTCAACGTTTTGAGCAATACGGAAGCTTCTTGTGAACTGGCCGGATCTGCGCTTCATCATCTGTCCAAATGACTGGGCGTGTGTTGCGACCGGAAATTGCAGGGGCGATACTGCTTTGTTCGGCACTCACAGGTCCATCCTGCCTCGTAACTTGAAGACATTCATTAGTTACAAGGGAAATGAATGGTATTTGATATCATATGAGGGATCAGCGCGAGGGACTGTAACAAAAACGCGGACAAACATCCATGCCTTGAGTCCGATTCGAACCCACGTTCCCAGTGACCAAGCGGCACAAGGCCACAGACTCACATCATACCTTAGAAAAATGTCCCTTTTCAGTCTTCAGCATTAATTAAACATTAATTTCCGTCGACGTTGTTTTTAACGAGATAGGAGCTTCTCACTTTGTTCTCGTTGAGGAAGCTTCCAAATAGAATTCGAAATTTGAGGTTCTCACTGCGTTGAAGATGACGGTGTTCTTTTGGGCTGTGACGCCGTGTGGAATCTTAGGTACTGTCAACATTTCGGGGGAACTTACTGTCTCCATCTTCAGCCCTGGAGATGGTGACAGTATGTTTCTCTGAAGCGTTGGCATCTTACTGTGAGTCCACATCGCGTCACTTCCCATAAGAACACCATGGTCGCAAGTTTATAGAGCAAAGGTTCCCAACTGAATTCGGTGCGTTTCAAATGTTCAATGAAGTTTCTGTCCTACGGAGTTACGTAGCATTTGGTTTGCAATACCGTGCGCGAAGTTCAATCAGTTTTGCCACAAATAACGAAGCGTATCTGGAGAAAGTGTAGTGTGATTATTTGATACGCTGTGTTAAGTCACTCTATCGGTGACTTCACGTTGTGATTCACGTAATTCTAGAAGAAATCACAGAAGTCCTCTGAACAACCAATCATGTTCACTGTTCTCTAAACATTTCCTTGTAACTGTATGAATTAGCTAAGTGTACGAGTAAAACATATATAAAAATAGTAACCTGCTTTCTTACGATATTTTCAATGTTTTTCTATGTTTTCCAAAACAATCAAGTTATCGAACTTCATCTCGAAGAATCACACCGGCGACATGTTGGCAGTCGAGTTAAGAAGCTTGTTCCGACAATATCTATTTTGCATATTTAACGATGTCATTTGGCTCGGGGTAGAGTGCAGTGATTTATTATTTGGGAGCATTTTAATGGACCTCGAGGTTCTATAAAAGACGGTGAATTTTGTGACTAGCTGAGCGACTCTGTTCCACATGTATATACCGGTTTTTAGTTTAAGCACACCGGTAGACTAAAGACTGTCGAGAACGTACATGTGTCTGTCACTTGGTGAAATATAATATAATTTTAAGAAAAATTCCTGAATTGTTGTTGAAACACGAAGTATTTTCTGTGTTTGGATACCCTCATCTTCAGGTTCATGTTTGTGTAACATTGTGTTGAGTGTAAGGAATTGTCGCTAAATTCTTCCCAGAGAGATAATTTATTTTGAAAGGTCTTTGTTTTCGAGGACAACTTGTGTTTGTCAGGGTCAAGGATGCCATCAGTGCGGAACAAGCAGGCGCAATAAACCTATGGCGGTATAATTACCGAAAGGCCCGTGTCTGTAGGCACAGAAAGTTCTGTCTGGTGGTGAAAATCTGTATTGCTGTATCTGGGGTTTTGGCCATACCCTGAAGATGTAAGAGATAACTTCCTCCGAAACGTTTGTAACTTAATTCAACACTACACGGCGTCACATCCCAGAACACCACAGTCACAATCTCGTCTTTGAGCTCTCATTCCAATCGAGTTTTATACGGGCGGCGCGGACCGCTTTGACGTGCCTCAGAACTGGGGCGAAGGCTTGAGGAAAGAGGAACATACCGCATGGTGATCGGACAAGCTTATTTATTTTGCTTAAGAAAGGAAAAGCTGAAAACGGCAGAAGTGAGATGACAAAGATATTCCTAAACAAGAGCTCGCCGCTGTTACCACACTTTTGTGAAACATTGAGTTGTTTTACAATGCCGTATCAATTGAAATAATTAGGTCCTATGCAGTGCATGCCATGGCCAAGCGAAGACCAGATCCGTCTGTGTGCGTCCGAGGTTCATTCCTCATACACCACTATTCGAATTCCTACAATAGTTTTTGAGGTTTTGGCGTCATGTACCTTGTAGATTCAAACGTTTTAGAGGAACACGAAGACAATTGAGAACCTCAAATTTCCTGCAGTAGGTTATAACAACACGGTGGACGAACGAACTTGTGAGGTGGGGATGACTGTTGAGATTTTAGGTTCCCACGGCGACGAGTATGAAGATTTCTGTCCTTTGTGGGGTGTTGTCTAAGGTAAGCACCCTTGAAACGTGGGTCAATTTTTGTGAGTCTGTAAGACGCAACATACCAGAAAACTGTCATCTTTTGGTTGGAGGTGTTTCACTTTTCGAAATGCTGTTCACTACGATTGAGCACTGTAGTTAATACCATCCTTTGGACTAATTGGCCTAATGAAAAGTATCAAAGTTACGGTCTGTCGCTCAGCATCCGGTCTGCTGTGTCACTCGACAAAAACATCTTCTTTCCATTCCAGTAGCTACCACGTCATTGACATTAATAATGCAGAAACGTTAGTTATTAGCCATGATCTGTTTTTGTAGTCCCACTCTTTCTTGACCTCTGCACTGGATAGAGGGGAGCGGTCAGCTTCACCCCCCGACCGGTTTAACCCCAAGGAAAGAGCCTCCGCTACCCGTGGATAGGAGGCTGTACATCCAGTGCAGAATTGCATGAAGGTAATGAACGGTGAATTGCATTTATGCCAAGTCACTTTCAGGTTTTACCGTTACTTATGACCAATACTGCAAGGTCTGTCAAACACTGGAGGCCACTTAAATCCTTAAATGATGGACACGAGGCATCACAGATCTAAAACTTCTTGACGATGGTGAAGAGTCATTTGAATAAAAAATTTCTTGGATATTATCCATCGTCTAGTAAAATATAAAACGTAAAACGACGTTTCGGAGATGGGGCTCTATCTCCGTCTTCAGGTTCCTACACAGTTGGGCCCACTAGATAGAGCTAATCCCTATCTCCGGACCTAGTAAAAAAGTGAAAGTCCCGGAATAAAAAGTTCCCATCTCCGAAACGTCGTTTTACGTTTTATATTTTACTAGACGATGGATAATATCCAAGAAAATTTTTATTCAAATGACGAGGCATCACGTTTAGAAAGAATATTGTAATCGCCTTTGAATCGGTTAGTTATTTGACATTGTCAGTGTAATGAAAACTTCCTGCTTTTGAATTGAATTAGTTTTTCATGGATAGGCAAAAAATTGAAAAATACAACCGAATCATAAATCAAAAGACGTTTATTTTCATTTTGAATGATTGTGATTACGCGTGACTCGTTATATGCGAGGGTTGCTTATATCGCAAACGCGTAGAACGGGAACGTATGGGTGCATGTAGATTTTCTGAGCGATATGCGAGAATTTGCAGTCCCCGAAGTGAAAATGTTGTTGCGAGTCAGTGAAATTACGCTCGCAACTCTTAAGCGGCAGCTTCTCTCGTGGCCGCGGATAGGATGTTGATTCTGTTCATGGTACTTAAATAAAGCCGTGGAAATGGGAAAATGCTGACAGCTAAAACGCGTATAACGAGAGTCACTTGTATGCGGGTTGATTAATCTGTTGCACCTAGCCACATTGTTTTGGTCATTAAAGTTTACTGCGTTCTCAGACACTGGACTCTGAGTGGAAATGTGTGTAGAGGATGTGAAGTTAAAACTTCCCATGCTATTTGTAAATTAGAATACTTCTCTAAAGATTTAAAAAATCTGATGTAGTGAGGTGTTTGTGTTGTTCGTAATAGTAGGCTTGTTTCTGCCTCAGAGGTGCAGTGCGGGATTACTAATTTGAGAGACACGACGGAATTAATTTGTATTTCCAGTAAAGGAATTCAAGGCCCAGAGAAATTGATAAAGAAAACATTTTTAAAACGTGTGTACTCACGTGGATTACATCGTTTCACTTTTGTTAGACTTTCTGAACGAAATCGCGGTGGAAGCCACTGAATGCGAAGCGCGCATGACAAATCCGCGTCACAGCATTTTTATTCGGATTTTTATTTGGAAAGTTTCGGTCTTGGCCGTTTTCCACGAATCTACACTGAGGATTTTTACTGGTATTTTTACGCAGATAGGGTCGACAACCATCTGCTTCCGGTACAGCTCCGAGGCTGGTGGACACGTAATCAAACGGGATTCGAATTCGGATAACAGGAATGCTGCCAAAATGT